GCCCGGACACGCGCGGGCGCGCCACGGGGGCATCGCACGTGCCGCCCGGCGCGGACAGAGGCGAGCGGCTCCTCGCCCTGCTCCTGGACGTGTCTCAGCGCCTGGGGCTCGGGGCACGGGCTGGGAAACGCTGGCGGGGGCTCCCATTGCGCTGCTGCTTTCGGCCCGGGATGAAATGAGCAGGGGCTGATGCCTCCCTCGGCTCTTCTAGTTCTCCCCGACCCCGGGGCACTGGGGAGTCGAGCGAGCAGAGCAGTGGCCCTCGCCTCTGCCGTCCCCAAATCCGGGCTGGCGGGGGGCATCCTCCAGCTCTGGGAGCCAGCCCCCTGCTCCGGCCGTTTCCGTGCTGCCCGGGGGCACAGAGGGGGAAAGCACCCAGCAAGGGGGAGGCTGCCGTGGGGCTGGAGTTGGCTCCTTCTTCCCGTTCCCCTTTCAAAGCGAATCCATCCCCAATTCACGCTTGTTATCCACGAATTACCCATTGGAAAGAGAGGCTTTCATCAGCGCTGTCCCTTTACTAATGAATATGAACAAGAATATCCTCCAGGGCTTCTCGGTTACCCCCTGAGCCCTCTTCCGCCCGCACAGGGCGAATCGGAGGCGGGGGGTTGCGGGGAGAGGCCGGGGGAGCGAGAGGAGCCCGGCGGCAGGGCGCACCCGGCTGGCTGCCCCCCCCCCCCCGGCGGTGTGCCCCCGAGTCGCTGCCTTTGTCCCCAGGCTCCGGACCTGCCGGCTGTCTGGGCTGGGGGCTGAATGGTTCCTGGTTGGGACAGATTTTTTCTTTTTTCCTTCTCCCCTGGGCGGGAAATAATTTGAAAATCGTTCCCCAAATGAAGTGAAATTAAAAAAGCCAAACTTCTGCCCTGAACAATGTGCCCGGCTGGGGAGCAGCAGGGACGGACGGGCGCGCAGGGGCATGGCCCGCCTTCTGCCCCTTGTCGGCGGGCCATGACAGCCGGTGGGGCCGGGAGAGAGCTGGGGTGGGGGCAGGATGCTCCAAAAATGCCTCTTGGTGGCGATGGCAGGGGACACAGTCTAGCTTCCCAGCTGGCAGGGGCACCCCCATGTCGTCCGGGGTCCTGCTCTCCCCATCCTCCGGCGCTCTCCCTTCACCCCCTGGCAGCGTCTCCCGTGCCCAGACCCGCCGGACGCGAGGAGCGGGGCGCTGCGCCCGCGGGCACTGCTGCTGCTGCTGTTGGGGCCGGGGCTCGGCCTGGGATGGGACCGTGCCCCCGCGCTGCCCCGGCCCCGCCGCCCCCACGGAAGCAGCAGCGCTCGCGGCTTGGCAGGATCAGACCTCGAGATCAAAGATCCCGCAGCAGGGCAGCTGCAGTCCTCGCATTGGTCCTGCCAAGCCGGGCTCTGCGGGCGCGGCCGCCTTCCGCGAGAGACGCACTGTCGGGGCAACAGCTAGTATCTGGCCCGCCCCGCCCTGCCCCGCGTGCGGGCACCGTTTTGCGGGCTGGACTGCCCCGCGTGTGGAGCTCGGCCCCTGCGGGCACACTCAGCTTGTCTCGGGTGGGGCGCTAACAACCTGAGTGGAGCTGGGCAGATAACGGCCTTGTTCTTCACTGTCTCTCCACTTCCTTTCTGGCCTGCTTCTGCTCAACATCCTCATCTTTTGCTCTCTTTCTCCCTCCTGCTTTCTCCCTTTCTCTTTCTCCCTTTCTCCCCCTCCCTCTCTCCCTCTCTCTTTCCCCCTCCCTCTCCTTCTCCCTTTCTGTCTCCCTTTTTTTTAAAGGCATCATTTATTAAGTTAGGGCACAACAGAGTGAGTGGGAGCCCTTTCCAGACAGCACCCTTGTCTTCACGCTGGCTGATACGCTCATGCTCTGAGCCAATGGAGGGAGCCAGCTGCTGTGTCAGATCTGTCTGACCCTGTGGAAGGGAGGGTGGGTTGGTATGAGCTAGCATTAATGCAAATAAAGCATTTTTTAAAAATGAGGTGCCTTCCGCTTTAAAGCGCTTGCCTGTGCTATTTGTGAAGTACGGTTTGTTTCCCTGCCTGCTGGATTGGGTCGAAGGTGCTGCTTCCAGGGATGAGGCTGGGAATTTGTAATTTACACCTATGCACAAGCCTACACACCTAAGTTAGTCAGGGGGGAAGGTATGTAAACGTTTCTGCCACAGGAGCCATTGCACAGGCAGGTGCAGATTGAAATAGAAACGTATGCTTTTTGGAGAAGAGTAGTTTATTAAAGTTAATTTAATAATGAACAGCAGTGGAAAGAGGGGGATTTGGGTCACTAATTTATTGTAAGGCAGGATTTAGCAGGCCACTAATTGCTTTGCAGTTGCTGTGTGCCAAATGGGATGTCTGATCCCCTTTCCCTTTCCCTCTGTGCACTGGGTTCTTTTTTTTTCAAAGCTAAAATGTCTCCTATTTCTTTATTTCTTTATCTAGAAACCTGCCTTTCCCTGTGGGTAGTGAGAAAGTCTGGTTAGTTTGCTCCAATTCCTCTTTCCAGTCCTCCTTGCATCTGGGGCAGAGGGAGAAGCCAAACACCATTTTCTGTTAATTTCACACAAGGAGTTTGATTGTAAAGAAACAATGGCAATGTTTGATTTACTGTAATAATATAATTATAGCTCTTGTATATCTGAATTAAGGATGCTGCCAGTCATGGCCATAAGCAATTCTTTTGATGAATTCTCCCTTTCCATTGTTGAAGATGAACTAGAGGTTTGGAACTGACATGCCTTTGTGAAATTACATGGTTATTTCTCCAGTAGGTTTTATAGTTCATCTTTTTATTCCTACCCACAGTGCAGTGCTCCGTACTTAACACAAATAGTCTTCACTTTCCCAAAAGTAAATAAAAAAAAATGATGAGTTTATCTTGAAATAATTGGATATGGGAGTAGAGGACAGCTGTGAACAGCAGCTGGTATCTGACCAGAGGCTTGCTGATTGTATAAAGAAGGCCATTTCATTTAGGTTTTTAATGGTTCAGCTAGATTAATGTTAAGACAAAGGGATGAAATAATGGAATAACAAATAAATTTGAAAAAACAAACAAAAATCATGGTCCAGATTATGATTTCTTACTAGTTTAAATCTGGAGTAATTCAGTGGATTTTAGTGGTATTATTTTGGATTTATGTAAGTGCACATGGTCTTGATTACACTGGGATTATGTATTGGGCTAGAAAAGGTATTAGCTGAACCAGTGTTAAACATGATTGCCTTTGTTATGGGCATGTGCAAGGGTGTTAAAATGTGTTAGCGAGTCATGGTTTGGGTTACAGCAACCAGCTGACACATTTTAAGCATGACTTCTCTCTTCATGTGTCTTACATTCCTACATCATGTTAATTAACATATTAAATAGGTCATCAGCTGGTCCCTTGTTTTTAGTTTGAGTTTTAAAATGTTGGGACTTTAACTAAAGTATGGTAATGTTATATGGGTGTAGGGGATTTCTCTAAATATTCATTTCTCTTCAAGTAACTGGAGAATCTTGAAGTCATGACCCATCAGGTTTTTCACTTGAAATCCACCCTGACTTTTTTTTTTTTAAATTAATGCCATTTGCATACAGCAGGAGTTGGGATGACCTCTGCTGGTGGAGGCAAACACTCAAGAATCTTTCTGTTGCTGGACTGTGAGGATCAGTGGTGATGGGAGCTCAAGAGGCTTCTTTGTGCTGGCAGTGGTGAAGACTGCTCAGTGGTTGCATCCAGCATAAAAATTTGAGTCACTGTTGGTCTTCTGAGTAGCCTGTGATATAATATTTTCAACACAGAACCCAAGCAAAAATGGTAGCTGATCACCTGAGAAAACTGTAAATATGAACTTCAGGTGGGGTCAGGAGTAGACATTGCATTCTGGAGTTTAACTTCCAAAACAGAGCCTTTAATTGGAGAACATGGATTTACTGGAGTAAGGGCTTGGATTACTATTATGCACCTGTTCTGTAACCACTGATGGAGGACACCTTGTAACTCCAGATATCTGTATTGAAACAGATCAGAAAATGTCCTCCACAACTAGCTTATTCCAAGCTGTTTTTGAAACTGGTCAGGCCAACTTACCTGGGGCTCTGGAAAAGCGCAGGCTCAGGGGTGATCTGATGGCCACCTGTAAGTTTATCAGGGGTGACCACCAGTATCTGGGGGAACATCTGTTCACCAGAGCGCCCCAGGGGATGACAAGGTCAAACAGTCATAGACTTCAGCAAGACCTTTTCAGGCT